TAACATTAGCTAAAATGTGAACTTATGCAGAGTAGTTAATTCCTAAGCCTCGTATCTCCTTCCTCTGGTTTCTCATCTTTATAAAAGCCAGAGTGTCACCTTCAGTAGAGAATAGGAAAAGCTCATGGGCAGGTGCCTGGCTTTCCCTTACTGTTACCAGTGCCACGGGCCTCCATCTATTTCTCTATTGTTTCCCACTAAATTCATTGAGAATGTTGCTATTCAATGTGCACAGGACTGTCCTCTGAATTCCTCATATAGGGTGCTTTCTATCTAAATGGAAACACTAGAGGATACAGTTAATGACACCGTGGTTTGGCCACCTGAAGAGTTCTAGAAGAGGTCACTGTTGAACAAAGATCTTCAGGGGAGATTATAGGATTAGGGAAGAGGGAATGAGGGGATGCTCAGGGTGGAGGTTTGGAATAGGTAGGCATCTGAAGATGCCATAAACCATGGAAAGATGTACTTAGATGGAAAGTTGGTGCTTTGCGCGGCATCTGGGCTCCAGTGCTTCACTAATGGACAGTTTAGAATTCAGGACAAAGAGCACAGATTGAGAATTCAGAAAGAACCTGAGTTCACTACCCTGCTCTGAGATTTACTTAGTCGTCTCTCAGCCTCGATTTGTCATCTAGAACATGATGGGGTTAACAAGTGGCCGAGAGGGGGCTCATAGTGCAGCACAGAACTTTGAGCTTTGAAATCATATTGCTGGAGATGATTTGGACACACTTAACATGATTTTGGCAGCTTGGTTTTCCTTTTCCCCATCTGAAAAGGGACATTGTCATCTTCCCCCTGCCCCCCAGGTTGCTTTAAGAATTGAATGAATGAATGTATTTTTCAATCTTAAAACAGTCCCTCTTGGTTAGTCATTGCTGCCTGCCTCACTGTGTTCCCTGGGGCTTCCCCTGCTGTTCTGAACCATGGGAGCCTTTGAAGGGTGCAAAGGGTGGAACACAGGGAAATGAGTCACTCAACTTTGCACATTGTTTGGAAGCCCCTTGGTCTCTACAAACCATTTTCCCCGAAGGCCTGGTCACAGTTCTGGAGGACCAAGTGAGTAGAGAGCACAACCCCTCCATGCCTGCTGTGCTTTCTTATCCTCTGAGTCTGGGAGCTACCTCTGCTGACTGGCAGAGCCAGGCCACATCTTTTCCTAGTTCACTTTGTTCTGAGGGCCTTTAATCATATCTGTTCAGAGCTGGACACTGGGCATGGAATTGTTGCCACAAAGATGAGGGAGTCACACACTTTTCTCATGAAGCTCATACTCCAGTTACAGAGGTTGGAGCTTTGGGTAGTTAAATGAACAATGTAGAGTGATGAGTACTTGGTAGAGATCTGTACACTTGGGTATGTTAGGAACACAGAGCACTGAAAATCAGGGAGGCTGGATGGAAGAGGGAGGACTTTCAAATCTTTGCTATTCCTTGTAGTACTTTGTAGATGATCAAGTGTTTTGGCGTTCATAGTCTATCCTCCTGAGTTTGATTCATTTTTATTTGATTAGTAGAGACAAAATGATAAGGCTTTTTGATGGTTTTGGTTTGTTAAAAAAAACTATACATTTTATTTTGAGATAATTGTGGTTTCACATGCAGTTGTAAGAAACAATACAGAGGGATCTCATGTACTCTTTGCTGAGTTTCCCCTAATAAGATCTTATAAAACTGTAATACAATCAGTGTAGTAGCTCATGTCTACAGTCCTGACATTCAGGAGGCTAAGGTAAGAAGACTGCTAGTTAGAGGCTATCCTGGGTAACACAGTTAGATTCTGCACCGAAACAACAGTGGCTTAAACCTACTACAGGACTATTGTACAATCAAAGCATTGACACTACAGACTCAAGACACAGAGCAGTTCCATCATTACTAGGGGCCTCTTACCTTGTCCAGTAGACATTTTTAATGTGTTCTTTTCTTTCACATGTGTAGCCTTGGGAACTTGAAAAATGAGTAGAAAAGAGCCTTCCCTAGAAGACATTTCATTCTTCCCACCCTCCTTGTGCCTTCTCCCGAGTTACAAATGAGAAAAAGAGTCAAGAACAGGAGGGGCCTGGTCTAATTTCATAGAACATTATTAACTTGGCCTGGTTATATTTTGCATAGTTCTCTTGGTCCCAGGCATGATGGGCATCTTGGCCACATTGTCTCTCCTGACGCTGCCTTATCTCTGGATTTGGAGGCCTGGGTCAGAACGAGCAACATTGTCACTGACCCTGGGTCAGACTTGACCTGTGGTAGGAGAGGCCTGTTGCATAGTTGAAGACCCCATGTGACAGGGTGCAAACTTTGGTGAAGCCTCAAAACCAAGGGCCCTGGTGATTCAGGTCCATCTCCCTCACAGCAGATGCAGTGAGTGGAGCTTGTGAGGGAAAGAGTGTTTCCCCCACCCCAGCGTCCATGGGAAACTGAGGTAGAGCCAAACCTCCAGGTTCCCTTGCTAACCAGTCTAACTCATAGTGACCAACCCAGAGAGACTCCTTCATGCATGCTTTGCTGGGTGGAGTTTTGTGTTTCCAGGTTTAAAAACATGGGCTATGACTCCTCCAGCCTGAAGATGCTGAGCTGTGGAACTGGAGAAGAATTGGGTTTGTGGTCAGGACACTGTGTGGAGGAGCTTTTCCCTGGGGGCTAACTGTGAGGGCTTTTCTGCTCTGGGCTAGGCACATCTGGACTCCCCTCTGCAGTTCCTTTCCCACATCTGCTCACACCCTAGGATTCCAAGGGTGTAATCAACCTGTAGGGGCATAGCAAACTCGAAAGGACTAGGCATACAGGAGGTCTGATGCTTCTGTGTTTGGAACACTTGGGTCTCTGATGTGGAGTGTGTGTGTGTGTGTGTGTGTGTGTGTGTGTGTGAGAGAGAGAGAGAGAGAGAGAGAACTGGAGGAACAGGGAAAGGCTTCTTGGGTGCTCAAAGTGTTCCACAGTTATTCTGGGGCAGTAGATGAGAGGTGGCAAGCTTGACCACAAGCTTAAGTCCATGCTGCCTATTTTTCTCCTCCTCCTCCTCTTCCTCCTCCTCCTTCTTGTTCTTGTTCTTATTCTTGTTGTTGTTGTTGTTCTTCTTCTTCTTCATTTTCTTCTGAGACTTGGAAAGAAGATGAAATAGTCTAATTAGCTAAAATGGGGAACTCACTCCAGTCTTGTTGATATTGCCTTCTTGGAACCCCCCCCCAACTTCATTTTAATGATTTTTTTCAAAGTATAATTTTTATACCATAAAATTTACTCATTTAAAGTGTACATTCTCAGTAAGTTTAAGGAACTGTATAACCATTACCACAGTCCAGTTTGGGAATACTTACATCTTTTTATCAGTAACTCTTGTACTCATTTATAGTTAATCTCTGTCCTACCCTCTATCCTAACTAATGCACTACTCTGCTGTGTGTGTGTGTGTGTGTGGGTGCGCGCGCGCGCGCGCGTACATGCGCACATGGGCTCAAGTGTATTTGCAATTTCTGGACATCCATGTAGGTGGAGCGTTTCTTCTGCCTGGCTTCCCTTTGCAGAGTATTTTGGGGGCTGTCCATGTTGGGCTCTATCAATATTTCAGTCCTTGGATTCCTTTCAAGAAAGTAACAATCTACCACATTTTTTTTTTACCACATTTTTGTTTACCACGTTTTGTTAGCAGCACTTGCTTTTTTTGTTTGTTTGTTTTTGGGTCCGGTGGTGGGGTCTGAATCTGGGCCTGGGAGCTGTCCCTCAGCTCAAGGCTAGCGCTCTACCACTTGAGCACCATTTCTGGCTTTTTTCTGCTTATGTGGTGCTGAGGAATTGAACCCAGGGCCTCATGCATGTGAGGCAAGCACTCTACCACTGAGCCAACTTCCCAGCCCCAGCACTTGGTTTTGAAGCAGACTTCAGACATTGCAACACTTTACCCTTAAATATTTTGGAATGAATCTTGAAAAAGTTTCTTTGAAAGACTTTAAAAAATGTACTCATTACTTTACGCATGTAACTGAAACCCCTCTGTACAGCATCTTTACAATGAAATAAAAGACTTTCAAAAAGCATACTCACAATACCATTACCATACCTAATGGACTCCTTAAAGTCATTTGTTCCATACTTGCCATGCCCCCTTCCCTTCCCTTCCCTTACCTTACCTTACCTTACCTTACCATTCCTTTTCCCTCTTCTTTTCTTTTCTTGTGCTAGTACTGGGACTTGAACTCAGGCCCTGGATACTGTCCCTTAGATTTATTTTTTGCACAGGGTTAGTGTTCTACTACCTGAGTCATGGCTCTGCTTCCAGCTCTTTGGTGATTAATTGGAAATGCGTTTCATGGACTTTCTTTCCCTGGCTGGTTTCAAACTAATCCTGAGATCTCAGCCTCCCGAATAGTTAAGATTACAGGCGTGAGCCAGCAGTATCTGGCTTGATTATTTTACAGTTACATTCTTTGAAGTCGGTTTGTTTCAACTGTGGTCCACACTGCAATAATTGATGGATCTCTAAGTCTTTTTGAACTTATGGCTTCCTCTGATTTTCTTTCGGTAACTCCTAACTCATTGTTGAAGAGGAAATCTGTACTTTCTCATGTAGCCAGTGATCTTGGCAAAGAGCATTAGCAACAGAAGGGGCTGCATGGAGTGAAAGTCCCCAGAAAGAAGGGACACAGAGGCCAGTGAGGGGCACCTGGAAGAACCCTCTGCTTCCTCAGTCTCAGTCATCAGAGCTTGAGGACTTTCCTCCCCTGCTCCTCTGGGGGATTCTCCTCCTCCCTCCCTTGGCCAGGTGGAGAGGTGGGCAAGTGTTTCAGAGTCTGTTTCCCAGGGCCATCTGAAGCCCAGTGGTCAGCCTGGAGGAGCCCAGAAGGGAGCCTGCCCAGCATGATCCCTGTTCAGGAGCCTCCTGGCCCAAGACAGCCTGGCTATTCGGGGAGCCAGCTCTGCAGCCTTGTACCCAAACCTTGCCCTCCTTCTTGCTGCCTCCTTCTCACGTGTCTGTTTCTTCTCTCCTCCATGCTATGGCAGTGGTGCCCCGTGCTGATGAGACAATACTTGGTGCAGCCCCAGGCAGTCCTTTTCCAGGTAATTTCCTAGGGACCCAAATGATGCCCAGTGCATTCTGTCCTGGGGCCCACGCCTCTGAGTCCTTTGCTAGGATTCTTTAACCTCTACTGTTTAGTTTCCAAGAGCTCTCCCAGTCCTATGCAGTCAATTCTCACCAGCTCTCAGACAGGCAGCTAGTGCCCACATGACCTGTCCCAGAGGCAACCTGGCTTGTCTAATGCTGTATAGGTGAGACAGAAACAGCTGGGCCAAGACGTCTGTGTGATCACTCCTAGCTCAATGTTCTCTCCACCACTGAGTAAAGCCTAGAAATGACACAGAATCCACCAAGGTAGTGCACTCCCTTTTTTCTCCGTATTTGTCCAGTGGGAGAGATGACCCCAAGTGACTTTTCTGGCTTGGATATTTGAGACAATTGAGGCTTTCCATTAACTGGAGCATGGAGTCTGGTTGGAGGGAGCACACAGCCATACACCAGGCACAGGGCCTGGGAAGACTGTAAATTGTTGACCTCAGCTCAATTTTTTCTTTTTGGGTTGTGGTCAAAGGACAACATCAGAGGGTTGTATTGGGGAGGATATCTGAAGAAAAAGCCTCAGGGGCTCAGAAGCCGGAAACGTGGAACACAGCTGTTGTCTGTAGTAGTGCATGGCTGGGTTTAGGTGGGAGGGACAGCATATCCAAGGATGGAGGTGACTGATACATGACCCATGCTACTGGTCAGCCTTGAACTTCCTAAGTTAAGTCTCCTCTCCCTTCTCCCCTCCCCTCCCCTCATTTCTCCCCTCCTCTTCTCTTTCTTCTTCCTTCCCCTCCCATCCTCTTCCCATTCCTTTCCCTCCCCTCTGCTCCCTCAATTCCCCTCCCCTGCATTCCTCTCCTTCCTCTTCCATGCACTCTGCTGTTCTTTCTTCCTCCTCCTTTTCTCCTTCCCCATCTGTTTGTCTGTCTGTCTCTCTCTCACAATACACTTACATACACACATACATGTGTACACATCTTACCTTTTTTTTTTTCTTTCAGTACTGGGGTTTGAACTCAGGACCTCATATTTACATTATTTCAAGTAGCTGGGATGATAGGCACATACCACCAGGCCCAGTTTACTTGTTGAGATAAGGTTTAACTTTTTTTTTTTTTTGGCATGGCCTTACCTCTAATAGAAATCTTCCCAATCTCCACTTCTGGAGTAGCTGGGATTACTTACTTTTATATTTTGTTATCATTTTAAAAATATTATCTGCCAGCCTCTATTTTCACAAAAGATTTGAGATGGCCCAAAATATATTGCTAAGTAAGTCTGACAAAAATCCAGAGATTTTGAAAAGGGGAAGATCATCACACAAAGAACCAGCAATGATACAGTTATGGTACTTAAGCACTGAATTTGACTGAGTTTCCTGGCAGCCATAGTAAAAGGAAATATAGAGTGGTTTCTAATGTTTTGTTTAGTCTGAGGCAAATTAATGATAGTCATGGCAAAGAAATTTTTTTCTTGCACTAAGTTATAGGAGAGATGGGCAAGGAATTTGAATATTCTGATGAGCTGTGTCTCCAGAGGTTTAAAAAAATACCTTGTGCTGGGCATCTGTGGTTCATGTCTATAATCCTAGCTACTCAGGGGGATAAGAGCTGAGGATTGTGGTTCCACGTCAGCCACAGCAGGAAAGTCCATGATTCTTATCTCCAATTAGCCACCAGAAAAATCTGAAGGTAGGGTTGTGGCTCAAGTGGTAGAGTGCTAACCTTGAACAAAAACATTCAGGGACAAGCCAGGTGCTGGTATCTCACGCCTGTAATAGCTACTCAGGAGGCTGAGATCTGAGGATCATGGTTCAAAGCCAGCCCGGGCAGGAAAGTGAGACTCTTTATCTCCAATAAACCACTAGAAAACCAGAAGTGGCGCTGTGTCTCAAGTGGTACAGCGTGTGCCTTGAGCTGAAGAGTGAAGGGACAGCGCCCAAGCCCAGAGTTCAAGCCCCACGATCAACAAAAACAAAAACAAAAAAACCCCAAACAAAACAACAAAAAAATGTTCAGGGACAGTGCCTAGGCCCTGAGTTCAAGTTCCAGGACTGCGTGCACATGCGCACACACACAGACACATTACCTTGTATGGCATTCAACAAATGCACTCAACATTTGTTATTCCATTACAGGTACTTCTCTAAGGGATTTAACTAATGTTGGACTGGGACATTGCTCTCTGGTCAGCTGACTTGAGAGAAGGGCAAAGGATGTTAGTATATCACTTAAAGCTATAGTTCTAACACTTTCTAGTTAATGTATGAGAACTGTGGATTCTATCGTACTTCTGGATCCTTCATTTATTTATTCAACAAGCACCAAGGAGGCCCATGTCTCATACTCTCAAGGTAACCAAGAGGGAGATAGATAGCCATTGCATATAGGGATAGGTATGATCACAGAGCTCTGTACAAAATCCACCCAGCGTAAAAGCATCATAGAGTGACTATTTCCTTGTAGAAGTATAGGGCCAGGAATGGCTTTACCAAGGAATACATTTGAACCATGTTTTGCAGATAATGTAGGAGCTCTCTAAGCAACTAAGATGGGCCCCCAGGCAGAGGCAAATGGTACCTAGAATGTCTGAGGAGCAAAGCCAGTACAACAATGCTCTTGAGAACTCAGGGGATTGGGGAGAATGCAGTTTCCCTTAGAAATCACAGGCAGCTCAAAGGGTCAGACAGCGATGAGGTCTTGGTGGACACTTAAGCACCCAAACTAGATTCTGGCACCTCGGAAAGAGTCAGAGTGTGAAGTCTGACTGCTGGGCTATTTTTGCTAGGTAGTGACAATGAGAAGAATGGTTGGGAAAGGGCAGCCAAGGCCTTGTTTTTGAGTACTACATGTCCCCAAGTCATGGCTCTTCAGGGGAGTTCTTTCTACCTGTGGAAGCCAGTGGTGGTTGAGTGACAGGACTTTTGAACTTCCTCTTGTATGTACTATGCAGATTGAAGATTTCAAGTCTTGAAAAACAGTGATCCAAAACAAAGTGTTGGAATAACTGAATGAATTTTGTTTGATATTGAATGTAATTGAGTATCACAAAATCAAATAGCAATTTCCACCTGGAAATTAAGTACATTAAGAGTCAAGAGAAGCCAGGTGCTGCTGGCTTATCCCTGTAATAACTAGTTACTCAGGAGTCTGACATCTAAGGATTGTGGTTCGAAGCCAGCCCAGGAAGGGTAGTCTGTGAGACTCTTATTTCCAACTAACTACTTAGAAAAATCCAGAAGTGGCGCTGTGGTTCAACAGGGAGAGTGCTAGCCTAGAGCACAAAGAGATACCAATGGCCCATGCTCTCTACAATTCTTATAACCCATTGACTCTGTTTCCTTCAGGGAGATGAAACTTCCCCAGCAGACCCAGCTGCATAGCCCTGTTACAATTTGGGAAGTCTTGAATAGGATGGAGAAGTGTACTAGAGTACTATCTGTTGGCTGGGATGGTGCCTGGACCTGGGAAGGAGCACTGATTCATGCTCATCCTTATGAATGGTTCCAATCCCTGCTGGTCCACTTGCAGCTACTTAGCCTTCCATCTCCACCCTGAATACTTCCCTTCAGCTAGAACAGCAGCATGTTTTGCCTCATAGCTGTTTATTTACCGCTAAGCTTTCCTTCAGCTATTCCAGACTAGGAGACAGGACTTTCTCAGTCCTAGGTAAACTAGAACTCACCCCAAGAAACCTTTCCTGATCATTCTCCACCCCATGAACATAAATAGCTCTGTATATTTCTTCCTATTAGAATTTCCGGGGGCATATATCTTTCTCTTGGAGCATGTCAGGTATCTCATGCCATTTTGTTCATCCCAAGACTTAGTAAAGGTGGGATGAATCCACACCTACTATGTTCAGGCCTCCATCAGGGTATCTGAGATATAGAGAAAACTGGGACCTACTCCTAGAGACCCAAAAAGTTAGAAGATGTCATCTGGGAAGAGACCTTACAGAAGGCATTCTTCCCTTATACTTGACCAAGGCAATGCACTGAAGGAGCAGCTTCTGGAGAGCTTTATTTCCAAATTCATTCTTAGCACATCTGGAGGCTAACACATGACCAAGTCTCATCCTCCAAGGATGAAGCGTAGGCCTTGACCTTTTTTTTTAACAGCTCTCTGCTGCCCATGATGAAGGCAATGCCTTCAAAGTTGCTGCTTGTAAGTTTCAACAAGAAATATATTTTCATCTCCAACTCATACACACTACCCACTGTGTGCAAAACAGAAATTTACTAAATGAGATTTGCCTTTCTCTATGTGTGAGAGCCTTGCCTTTCTCTGTTCTTCAGGCAAGTCGCTTTCCTTCTATCATGGTAAAATGGGATAACAATATCTGTGTATAAGAAGGGAGAACTCAAGAACAGTCAAGTGGGAAATTTGGTGCACTTGTAAAGATTATGATTATTATTTCCCTAGCACCATTTGGCAGAATGAGAAGCTGGAGTGGGACTCATGCCTCCTGGTAGTCAAGAATGACTTCTTGGAGGAGGAAGTACTGAGGCAGAGCCATAAAATAACAGAGACTCTCTCCTATCCTCACAGTGATGGGGAGTGAGCCCTGCATGAACACCCTAGGACAAAAGCATATTCCTTCCTTTTCTATAAAGGCCGAGCTTGCGCCCCTAGATATTTGGCTGGACCTAGAGCTGAGCACATTAGACGCCTTTGCTTTTTGCATTTAGGTCTCTAATCCACCTGGGATTGATTTTTGTGTCTTGTGTGAAGATCCAATTTCTTTCTTTCCCTTGTTTCTGAATGGATAACCAGTTACCCTGCACTGTTTATTAAAGAGTCCATCCTTTCCTGCTGATTTGTCTGTCTCCTCACTCATATATCAAGGTTCCATATGTGCGCAGATCAGTTTCTAGTCTCCATTCTGTTTCACTGGTCTATTTATCTGTCCCTGTGCCAATACCACACTGTCTTAATTACTGCAGCTTTGTAGTGATTCTTGATGTTGCTAGGCTTGTCCCTTCAGTATTGTTCTCTGTGGGAAGCCCCAGGACCCACTTTGAGGCCCAGGATATTCTCTACATGTTCAGAATCAGCCTCTTGTAGAAGATGCTTGATGAGCCCTAGGGTTCTGACCATACTGTTATCAGTGAACAGCACCCCAGGGCTCCTGCAGCCCCAACTCGTGACTGTCACCATCCCTGGAAGGGTTTTCTAACTGGTTTGCAGGTATGTGCCTGAGCCTGAGTCCCTTCTGCCTGCTACTTGTCCAGTGGCTCCTTTGTTTTCCTCCAGTGGCTCAGAGTTTAATCATCCTATCCTACTCAGAGTGCCAGCAACCCCTTCCAGAACACTGCTTGCCTCCCTGTCCTTGCCTGCCAAAGATATAGCCCTAGACAGACAGGGATATGTCCCCTATTGGCAATGCCAGGAACCTGAGAATCTCCCTACTCCAAAGCTTGGCATGCACACCAATTTTCTGGCTTTGTTGTTTTCTTTAACTGTAAATAGGCCTAGAGATTGAGTGAAAGGAAGAGACATGTTATGTCTCTTTATAATTTAGTCTGTCCTTAGATGGAAAGATCCAAGCTGGCATCTTTACTGCCCTCTCTGGAGGCATTCTGACAAGGGTTTGCATGAAATGACTCATTGCAAACTCTGGTTTCATGAAATGGTTTAAAGAAGGAGACACGAGTCACAGGCCAGTACACGTGGCTGGTGTGGGTTCGGTAAACCAGATGTTTTGGGATCAGAGTATTCAGCACATAGGTGTTTATGTGCTTTCAGAATTTAAAAGCACTTGTCAGTTTGTGACTCAATTGGCTGGATGTATTAGATTTCGGATAAATTCTCTGGATCTAGATTCTGCCTGTTCTGCTACAAAGTTCCCCTCCAGCCTCAATTTGCACTTATTTCTGAAGCACTCTGTCTACCCTCTTCCAAGAAGACTTTGTTTCTGCCTTGCATTCGTTACTGGGGTTTTCCTCCCTACGTGGAAGAGAATGATGGTCTGGGGCTAGTTTGGGCTGACTAGGGGCACAGGCCACACAAAGCCAGTTTTGACATCTTGTGAAGCTTCATGAACTCCACTTTTCTACATTGGGCCAATCGTTGATTCTGGATACCGGTCTTGTTCTGTCCCAGTGAACCTACCCTTTCAACCAGGGAATTCCTGAGGCCCCTGTGGGCCTCAGCACAGGCAAGCTGGCTTTGCCCAGCTTGGTACTTAGCCCAAAACATGGAGGTGCATTTGACCAGAGTGTCTCTGAATCTGCTGCTGAGATGTATCTATTTCTTCTTTCAGACGACGGAATATTCAGCTATGGCCTCGCTGGCTGGAGGGCTGGATGATATGAAGGCCAATCTGACCAGCCCCACCCCTGCTGACATCGGGAGCAGTGTGCCAGGCCCACAGTCCTACCCCATTGTGACAGGTGAGGTACCTGGTGTTAGGGGTATGGGTAGAGAGAGAGAGAGAGAGAGGAGTGAGAGAATGCATGTGTGGTGGAAAGAATGATGTCTTGGTGCTGTTAGATATGCCTGGCCATTTTTGCCTTACTGAGGTTATAAGGTCCTGGAACAGGTCAGACAACAACTGCTGGACCCATGGGTTGTGGCTGTAATAAGACACAACTGTGCATTGCTGCAATCAAGCTGGAGAATAAATGCTCAATAGACTGTAGGCCAGGATCAATGACAGGGAACCTCCTGTCAGTGGGGCCGCTGTGAATGGAGCCAAGTGGTCAGAGGTCTGGGATTTCTCCCTGGTTGGTGCCAGCTTCAGGGAGGAGTGGGACTCCTGGTAGGTTGTCATCAGCATTTCAAATTTCCAGGCAGAGGTTGAGTCAATAAGGGCTGAAGGCTTAGGCCAGAAGGTGCTTGTGAAGATGCCAAACAGCTGCCTTTCTAGAAGGCCTGAAGATGGCCTCAGTCATTACTGTCAGTGGAAAGTGTGTCCCTTAGGCTGAGGTCATAGCTCAGTGGCAGAGCACTTGTCTGTTATGCTCCAGACCCTGGGTTCCCCTTCTCATTGTAGGCTCTGAGCATGCTGGGATTGAAACTGGGTTTACTAGCTGTTATCTTGATTAGTCAGATAAGAATTCCAGGCTGTGGTTTTTCTGATCTTTATGATGGGAACATCATCTAAGGCTGGTGTGAGAATAGACAGGTTCACATGTACAAGGTGCTTGGACTTTTCTAGGACACAGTAAGCACCTAATAAATGTGCTGTCATTACTTCTCTCGGAGTCTTCTCTGTGGCCTGTTGTGACTGAGAGACTCTTGGCACTCCGGCTCATCAGCATTGGGCACTGTGTCTATAGGACGGACTCAGCTGCCAGCTCCAGGAGGGCATCTAACCTTTCAGTATCACACACAGAGAGTGGCCGTGGGACACATGTGGGTCAGGGCCATTGGGTCCAGTCTAAGGTGGCAGGATGACCCTGTGGGCTGGTAGACAATGCACTGTGAGCAGTATCTTTCCAGGGAGCAGTGGTATGGCCAGCCAATACCAGGGCCACTCTGCCATGAGGATAATCTGGTGGCTCATCCTATCTTTCACCCCCTTGTGATCCTCTTTTGGACACAGCTTAGGGCCTCAATGTTTCCCCTAGTCTCTGGCCTCCTGGTCTCTTAGGCTCCTTGTAATGACTAAATGAAATTCTGGAGTAGACTTCCCTTCAGAAGGAGGGCTTGGGGCTGAAATCAAGATTCCTGAGAAACCTTGTTAAGGCAGGTCTCAAGAAGATTTTACATACATTTGTTCACATGGTTATTCGATGGTTAATAACCCAATTAGTGTTGACCACCTTTCTGACAGTTGAAGGAAGAAGCAGATGGATACCTGTCCAAAAGGTTAATCTATCCCATGGATAGGTCTAATTGGGCCCACATAGAGCTTTAGTTTTTTGAGCTCAAACCAGGGATGGTGGTTCACACATGCTCATAACAGCTACTTAATAGGTAGATATTGGGAAGATTGCAAGGCCAACTAGAGTAAAAAGTTTGTAAGTCTCATCAGCCAATAAAAATGTGGGCATGATAGCATTCTCCTATCATCCCAGTTATGCAGAAAAGGGTAAACAAGAGGCTCAAGGTTCACATTGGCCTGAGCATAAATGCAAGATGGTAAATGAAAATATCTATAGAAAAAGGGGCTGGAGGTTGTGGTCAAGTGGAACATGGATAGAGTTAATTTCTTTAATATATAAAGAACTTTTAAGAAAGAATAATTAAAAGACCAGTAGACAAAACAAGCAAAGATATGAATTAGAGAAAATGTAGATGCCCCAATTTTATATAAAAAATACACACTGGTTCAGAATTTTAAAGCAATAAGTAAAAAAAGCCTCATAAGACACAGTTCATTAGCTTATCAAAGATAAAGGTAAATGTTGGGAGGAGAATGAAAAACAGGTATATTCATGTGCTGTTACAAGAGTTTAAATTGCTTCCATTTTTTTGGAGGGAAACTTGAAAATGCCTATGAAAAATTTAAATTTATATTGCAGATATGTTCACATATGTGCATAATGATGTCTGTGTGCATAATAATTATATAATTATTTATATTGGCAAACAACATCAATAGAAGCTATCTAAATAAAATATGGCTCTTTTACATAATGAAATACTATGCAGCCTTCAAAAAAGTATTGACTTGAATTAATGTTTAAGATAAACATTTAAGTAAAAAGCAAGTTTAGAAGAATGTAAGTATAACCAATTTGTTAAAAATATTATATAGAGGAACAAAGAGTGAACAAATGCAGGAATGGTACTCACTAGACACAATGTTGAAAATGAACTATACAACTTGTGAGTGGGGATGGAAGGGGAAAACAGAGAGAGCAAGGGAAGGGGAGACATTGTCCAGATAGAAATACACTCATTACCTAACTTGTGTAACTGCAATCCCTCTGCACATCACTTTTATAATAACAATTAAAAATAAAAAGTAGAATGCAATATTATAATGTGGGGAAATTTTAAATATGATACAATACAAATAATTATTAAAGGAACTATTATTGAGTTAACACACAGACACATGTACTATATAGCAGATGCTTACACATGAAGATTCGGTGGGAGGACTTGGAACTTTCCTTCTGCTTTTTGAGGCATTGAGGTTCTATGCTTGGGAGAGGAGGCAGGGTCTCCACCTGATCCCCCCCAGAATTCCTTTGGGATAGTAAATATTTACAGGTCCCCTTTACTCTCCTGACATTAAACACTTAAACAATATAGCCTTCACATCTGATTTTAAATAGAATTTAAACAATGCACTGATAATGAGATAAAGGAGAAATAAAAAAGCAAGATTGCTTATAATCAAGCAATATGTATTGATATGTGCATACTCTGTCTAAACTACAAGACAAAACAGTTTAGGGCTTTGCCTATTTGCCTATGAACCAAAGCATGGTGAACGCAGTCACCTTGAGCATACCCTTATGCAGGATTGTGGACCAAGGAATTACACCTTCTCATAGTGGCACATTTTGCCGACAGGAGGAATTCTTAGTAGAGTTCCAAATAAAACGAAGCATGAGGTTTGCTCAATTTATATAGTAGTTGCATCCCTAGAAAATTCAGAGTATATGAGACCATGGAATTTGCAAGTTCACATTTATATGTAAATGAAATTCAGTTCTAGATTCAAATAATTGCAAACAGATTTTCCAGCTTCATAAATGCTTTTCAGGACATGACAATAGTGCAGGATGGAAGAAGATGATTCATTGTATGATTCATTCCATGCAAGCCAGCAATTCATGCCCCTCCAGTATCTAAGAGCCTCACAGAATTTCACAATGTCCTCTAGGGGACGCTATTGGCTCCACTGAGACCTGTTAGAACACCTTGAAGGAAATCCTTGGAGGGCTATTGGTGGGCTGCATGTCACTCTACATACGTTAGTGGCTGTGCTGACAAAGTTCTGAAATCTTCAGAGGAAGTCAGTCTTCCAACTCACCTGTGTTCACTTCCTACCCCAAGGTTCCTGTAGGTGCTCAGTTGAACTATAAGCCCCTGGGCTCTACTGGGGGCTGAAGAGTACCCCTTCCCAGGCTGCTCCATCTCTGCTTTAACACTCCAGGCTACCCAAGGAAGATCTCATTAGAGAACAAGTCGATTGCTCTCCACCGTTTATATGCAGCATTAAATATTAAGCTAAACCCCTGCTCTACTAGCAGGCCCATGGTTCAGAAACTACTCACCATTTGTGAACTGGTGACATGGTCAGCTGGTTCCTGCACTGTCAGCAGTTTGGGCCTCTCCTGATTGGGACTAATTACCTGCAGGTGTGCCCTTGAGCCACAGGCCCGCTGATGGGGCAGCTACTGTGCCTACCTGCCAGAGAGGACCACGGGAAGGGTGCCAGGCTCCCGACTTTTGCCTGCCTCCCCACTGGCCAGAGAGCTGGCAGTCTTGTCTCCAGATGTACCCACCCAACATTTTGCTTGGGAGAACAAAGGAGCAGGATCAGTCTGTGTGACCTTGCTAGCCTCTTCCCTTGGGGACTCTATCTGTGATCAGAAGAATGGAATGGCAGGGGGAGACTGAACAAGGCCTCCCTGGGTCCAACAGGGTTAGGAAGCACTAGGCTGGTGGGTGACCCAGGCCTCGGGGTCTAAGGCTTTCTCTGAGCACATGGGAATTATGGATACTTTTCTAGGCTAATGTATGAAGGATCCCTACCTTTGCCTGTGTCCGGAGGGCATAAGTCATAGAGAAATGTTCCCCATGTCAATCCTGTGTGTGGGCGGGGGATATACTCTCTCAGGGATTCCTAAAGGCTCCTGACCCTATAGAACACCACAGGAAGATTCTGGGTGGAGACATCAGGACATCTGGCCAAGGGGCAGAGCAGATATATGAGTGCTACAGGTGACTTTTCCCCCCACATGTTTGGGGTACCCATGTCCAGTATAGGAGCAGTGATATATCTGCTTTGTGTCAGGATTTTTCAGAAACATTCAGACTGTACATGGTATTGCTTTGGGTCTGTAAACCCAAGATTCCCAGACTCAGAATCTCTAGCACTGGGGAAGCACCTCTGGCTATGTGATAGGGAACCTTCTCTGCTGAATGACCCTGGGGGATTTCCTGATGAGGCTTCACACTCAGATGTACTCTGCCCCCTCCTCATGTTTCCTCTGGCCAGGCGCCAGGCAGCTTTGAACAGCCGATTGTTCATCTTTCCATGGGGAACACCTCCTTTGACCCAGTTTTTATGAGCCTTTTTTGAGGCTCATCAGACACAACTAAATACCTCTTCTCTCCCACTGAAGTCATAATGAATAATGAAAGGAAGAATATGAGAAATGCCTGTGTACCTGGGCTGCCAAGGGGTGTGAAAAATTGCAGTAAAAGCTGAAATGCAGCATGCTAGCCAGGACTGCATGCTCAGCCATGTGCTTCCCGAGGAAGG